GTAGCAAGTAGTTGTTCTATACTACTGAATGGCTATTATCAATTATATACAACCTTCCAATTCACAGACAGAATACTTCTCAATGTCAGCTGTTGAGCACCTGCATCTGGCTAATTTCATGCCTATTGGAAACAAAATACTGGACAAGATCACCATCTCTTAAATTTAATGTATTGATTACTTTTGGATTCATTCTGCTAACAGGAGGGAGGCTGTGGCGGGGGGGGGAGAAGGACTCATCAAGGTTTGGTGGAAGGATGCAGACGTATTAGATCAGTTCAACCCAAGTGATTAATGGATTCTGATGGGGTCCAGAGGGAGCTTGGGATTTTCCCCTGAGGATCTAGTGGCCAGTTCAATAGAGGACATAGCGACTGTTTATAACAGGCATATGATAAGAGCCTTGGATAAGATTGAACCTGTGTGCTTCTCACTATGCATCAGTCCAGGGGTGTTCCTTGCTTTTCTGGGGGGCTTCAAAACTTAAATTTCAGAAGAGATGCTTAGAGAGCCATTGGAGAATCTTGAACCATGAATCCAAACAAACATGACTAAGAACATGGGGATTATATTAGGGTCACAAGAACAACAAACATATCCTCCATTCTCTGAAAAGGAAAGCGATTCTGAATATAGAAACACTCTGTCAGCACAACCATTATTATTCACAAGAGTACTTTTCGGTGGGGAAAGAAATCTGCCCTGCTGACATAATTATGATTCTAAAAGTTTCTCAACTGGTTTCTACACTTAAGCGACTTAGAGCCTGCAAGGACAAACCAGTGTTTCCTGTTTGAACAAGTATTATTGTTTTAAGGCTTTTTCAAACAAGCATCACATGCAACTTGCAATGGCATTCATCTGAACGATAACTGGGAAGATGGTCGCTCCAAGCAAAATAAATGTGGAGAGCTGCTGAAAAGTATCGACAGAAAGAGAGTAACCAAGAATAAAGAACTGCCTTAATAGTTGCTTTGAAGGGAAAGAGAAAATGAGCTTTAGCTTTCTTTCGTTCATTCCCTGGTTACATGGGAATGGAGATATAGCAGATTTTCATCATTTTGCCCTATAATGCTTTCTCCTTTATTTTGGAATGAATGAACCAAATCACCAAGGACTGAAGTACCATCATTTAATCATTCATATCTATTGTGTGGGCGGGGGGAGGGTGTCAATTTTTTTAAAAAAATCAAGGGATCCCCTCAGGAAGAGTTCATAAAATCAAGATGGTAAGACCATTGATTTTGATTGATGGATGCCATCTTGACTTTTTGATCCCCTTCCTCCAGAGATGGTATTCAGCAGGTTCTGACCAGTTCTGGAGAATCGGTAGCGGAAATTTTGAGTAGTTTGGAGAACCAGCAAATACCACCTCTGACTGGAGATTTTAGTGTCCTTCCCCTGCCATGCCACCAAGCCACACCCACAGAACTGGTAGTAAAAAAAATTTGAACCCCACCATTGCCTTCCTCCATTCATATAACTGCCCTCAGCCTTGGTTTATCGCTCAAAGCTGGAGAGGTTTTGGGGGCAAAGCTGGATTCATTTCAATTTCTATGGGAAAAATAGGAGGAGAGAGTATTAGGTATGTTCATCACGAGTTATTTATGAAGTAATAAAGGAGGGATAAAAATCTAATAAATAATAACAAGATTATTGTCTCTCAGCATGCCTGCATTTTATTTATATGCTGTCTGTATTCAGCATTTTTATTACTTGAAATTTATTATGTGACTTAAAAAGGATTTTACAGCTTATTTGAATTGGATTCAGTCAGAGAAACTTTTTAAAAAAGCAACACAAAGAACAAAGATGCAAAAATGAACAGATTGGGAGAGTAGTGCATTTTATATTTTAGTACGAAAGGAAAGCTAATGCAAGACTGCCCTCTGCCTGTAGCAAGAGCAATAAGAGCAAGATAAATATCTTTAAAATCCTTTTAAACAATTTTTTAATTAAATGCCATGTTCTATAATTTCCTTCTCATTAGTTAGTGAATATACACAATATGAATCTAAGTCAACTGTAATTCTCATGTACTACATAATTATATGAAATCCATTCCTAAATCTTCTCCCCCCCCCCAAGAAAAATCCTAAAAAAAATTCCAGAAACTTGCATATTTGCCTAAGCAGTAATCCAGAATAGAAGAGACAGTAGTATGATAAGAGATGGGACTTAAGTAAAACAATACTAATAGTATAATTCTCTTGCCACAACAGTCTGTAAACCTGGTATGGGCTGAAATGTTATGTAATAAGTCTCTCCCAGCCAATCCTGGTGTGTTTGTGTGTGGGCACGCGCACACACACTCTTGCCTTCAAGTCAGCCTTGAATCTTAGCAACTACATGGACAATTCCTTGCAGTTAGCAATATTTTCAAAAGTATTTTATACTTGCCGGCTCCATAAAGCTGAGGCTGACTGACCCAAAATCATCCAGCTGGCTTGGGTGGCGAAAGCAGAACTAGAACTCAAGTCTCCTGGTTTCTTGGCTGGTACCCTAACCACTACCTCAACCTGGTGCCCTTTTCATTGTACAGGATTGATATACAAAGAATTCAGGAACATTGGCTGACTGCAGAGTTTAAAGTTTAAAGTAAGTACATCGTATTATCAGGTTGAGTGTATTTCCACAAAGTGTGTTGTTGTTTTGGCTAAATAAACCTAAAGGAATGCATTCATGGCTGGCTAAGGCAGAAGATAAGGAACAGGAACAAGGAAAGTCCAGTGTGGATTGCTAAAATATCTTTCCAGAGGGCAAATGAAGGAGTCCTTTAACCCTCTTCTTTCCTCACGTTGAGCAAAACATTGAGTGTTTCTGTGCAAGTTTACCTTTGCTCTGAAAGAATAAGGAGCTTGCCAAAGCACCATTGAGGAAACCACCACCATTGAACCTGGAGATGGCAGAAGTTCCTAGCCATGGGATTCCAGTCACCCACAGCTCTGGAGCAAACACTGCAAAATTCTTCTCACAACTCCTCTGGAGGAGTAGCTGAACTGAAAGTTCTTTGGCTCCGTCTACAAAAATCTCTGAAAGTAGCAGAGCATTGTGAGATCACGCAGGCATGGCACCAACCTCATGAAATAGGCCTGAATTTTTAGATTGATACTTGCCTTAGCTTGTAGTTTTGATGCTTTTTTGTAGCAGCTATTTCTTTAGAAAACATTTGTCCTCTTTTTTTAATGTCTAATTTTCTAAATTATGTCCGTCTATTCCAGGTCTCGTAAAAGGGATATTCCTGTAATATGTGTAGTTTCAATATAATGAAGGAACAGCTAGAGATATATTCTGTGTGATATATTAACATATATAAAAGTGAACCAATCTATTAGCATCAAAGGTGAAAATTTGGGGAATTGTCCCAGCAATTACAGTGATTAAGAGTTAATACTTATTCCCCTTTGTTTCCATAATTTTTTAATTTGAATTGCTCACACAAAATATCGTGTAGAGGTAGTCCTTGACCTAACTGGTTGCTGGGACCAGAATTTCTGATGCTAGGCAAGGCAGTTGTTAAGTGAATCATATCCAATTTTATAACTGTTTTGCCAGTTAAGTAAATTACTACAGTGAAATGAATCAGTCATTAAGCAAATCCAGCTCTATCAAATGACTTTGTTGGAAATTGGCTGGGAAGATTGCAAATGGTTATTACATGATCCAGGGATGCTGCAATACATGCCGATTGCCAAGCATCTGAATTTTGATTACATGACCATGGGGATGCTGTGATAGCTGTGTGAGAAACAGTTGTCACATTTTTCAGTGGCTTTGTAACTTTGAACAGTCACTAAACCAATGATTGCAAGTTGAGGATACTCGCACTTAAATTCTTAAAGCACTTTTTATACTGGTGATGCTCAGAAATCAGCATGAATGATAAAGAATGTGGTTGCTATACTAAGTGAAAGTTGGTACCAATTATCCTTACTCTTAATCTTATGGCTAAACTTAGACTTCCTTCTTTCTTTCCCACATTCTTTTTGTTACATTGTGTGTGCTGGAGAGTTCTAGACCATCAAAGTCTCACCTATTATTTTTTTTTGTTCTTAAAAAAATGATGAGCTATTTTTTTCCCTTATGCATTAACATTAATATGCTACATTTGTATTCAAATGTATTTATCAGAAATAAGGCAACTTAAATTTTTATCTAAAAAGAAAATGTTATGTCACACATAACATATGCTAAAGGTAGATAATCGTACATTTCTATAGGCAAGTATGTTTTTAATAAGAATAAACTTTATTAGGACAATTGGCCATTTAGGTAGTTCTTAATTACTGACTGCAAAAAAAAAAACATCAAAAAAACCATAACAACTTCATTGCAAAAATGCAATTGTTCAGTGGATTATCACATGACCATGACTTGTAACTTTCTGCCACCTTCCCCATTGAGTGTTGTTGTTGGAAAGTGGCTGTGATCATGGCGGTGATCACATGGTGATCACTTACGGTAACTTCTGGATGCTGCAACTATTGTTAATGCATGCTGGTTGCCAAGTGTCCAAATTGTGTTCGCGTGACTGCTGGCATCCTATAATAGGCACAATTTCATGGACAGGTGGTCTCTTTTTTCATCATGTGCCATAACTTTGCACAGTTACTGAATGAGTGATCAATAAGTGAGAACTACCTGCATTATTTTAATGTTGTCAAATAATGAAAATATGATTTTCCCACGGAAAGCATGCAGCTGGTCATGTACATATGACTATTGTTTAAATACTCCTGGTATGAAAATGGAGCATTTCTAAGAGCAGTTAAGATAGTATTAAGATTACTGCTAGCATACTTTAACAAATTATACATCAATAATGAAGCCTCAGAAAAATATAGTTCATGTCCCTTGAAAATCTACCAAGTCTAGAGATCTGAAAAATTTATTCACGCATACATATTTTGCAACATATATTTTGCAACTTTGCTTTAATATTTCCAAAATAATTTCAATACACTGCTGATATAGCTCATTAATTTTTGATGTGATAGTTGTAGTCCCAAAGTTACACTGTATAAAAATGCTACCAAAATCTTAAAGAAAACCTTGTGGAGGTTTACCCTCAAGGAAAGTAACATCAGGATTGTAACATCCTGAAGTAACATCATGATTGGCCCACCTCAATCCAGATTCAAAGACAATCTCTCTCAGACCACTAAAAGGGCTAGCTATCTCTCATTATCTTTTTATAAATGTCTTAGCATGATTTGGATAGACACTCTAATACATGAAATACTGGATCAAATGGAATTTTGCTTGGATTATAAAACAGAATTGTGATAACAGAATGAAAATAAAAAGATCACAATGACAGATGAAGAATGCTACATTACACCACGGACATACCTGCCTTGAAAATTTATTAAAAATCAAAGAATACAAAACTTCACATAAAAATATGTATTTTTAGCTTCCCACATTGTTATTACACACAAAAATGAACATGATATTTAGCAGTCATCCAGAGGCATAGAACACAACTAGCATGATAGCCAGTGCAATTTATGGTTAATCATGACTGAATGGAACATGGTATCTGCTTCTTTTATGTCTATCCTGCTTTTGAATGGAACTATTTAGAACATCAATATTTCAATAATGTAGATTCAGAATCAATATTGCTAACATGTAGAACGATTATAGGTTTATAATCAGCCCTTGAATGGTTTATTCAAGTTTCGATCCCTTCCTATACCAAATTCTACTATGAGCCTTTCATAAGGTTTGAAAAATAATCAAAAACATCGATTCCATTTTCAAGCAGAGCTGAAGTTTTGGCAATTCGCAGTTTGTTTGCTCTTTATTTGTTATCCAATTACTGTTCACCTGAAGAATTAACAATCAGAGGTTGATATTATCAAATGTTGCTTTGGAGAAGGAATTTTGAGGAGATGCTTTTTTTAAAAGGTGGGTAGCATACTTAAGGGGCTTCAGTATGGGATTGGGGACCTAAAAACCAGTGTATATCTAGAACATAGTTTTAAGATTCAAGAGTCATTTCCAGAGGAAATAATATATAATCTGTGATAAGGAGTATGACAGGGCAACTTGCAGGTAGAGATACAACCGTACTGTACGTTTTCAGTAACTTTCAGGTTCATATTTCCCTTAAATTTGCAAACTTTATATATCTTTCCATACAGATACTGATTAGTATAGTAAACCTTGTATTTTATGCCTGTCTTTCTGATTACCTTACAATCAATTTAAAAGATAAAATTAGATCAAGATGAATTGTAGTCAAAATATGTGCTACTCTGCTTTGGAATGTTGCAATCTTTTCTCTCATGATATTCAAAGGCCTTGCATTTGTTTTGAAAAAAATTCTCTAGCATGTGCTACATCAATTTTCAACCATTCTGTGTCAAACATTCACTGCTTTAAAAAATCATTTCTATGTACAATTTAAGATGTCAGAATTTCTTCAAGCAGAATTACTTAACACAATGCTTTCCAAATTTTAAGAACCTGTATTTTAACAAAGGGAAGGGGCGGGGAAGGAAGCATAAAAAGATGGAGTAAGTGATATTAAGAAACATGGTACTTTTTAAATGCAGGGTAGGTTGTATACACAATTTGGGGCTTTAAAATAAAACAAATATGTTGCCATGATGATACACACTTGCATAGTATATCTGTATGCATCTTTAAATCAGTTGCTTGCCGTACAGATTATCTCAATACCACTGGATGGGCTGTGTCTTTACAAAACAAGAGGCTAACACTTCAGAATGCATAGAGAAGCCAGAAGATACATTTTAGGTAGATGCTCTCAACAGAACTAATGCAGGCTGCTAATCAGATTCCTGAATGGAATCACTACACATTCCTTTCTCCACATTCTTCAAGTTGGATGCTTTATTTAACAATGGCCCAAGCAATCAGAAGGTAAATATAATTGATGAACTGGTACAGTATCTGTAATTTTCAGTTAAGGATCAGGGAGATATATAAACACGCACCACCACACACACATTACATACACACACATATATCCCTGACACTTTTCTGAATATGCATATACATATACATTATACATGTACATGTACATATACATATATACATATACACCAATCTTGATTTTAACAGTAATTTATGTCCAGCTGTAGCAAATAAGCTGAAGATTCAAATTTTTGTACATGATCCTCACTAAACATGAGATTTGTAAGAGCATTAGATGGCATTTTATCTCATACGATTGAATTTAGCATTACATGCCAGACTAGTAAGGTAACTAGTTAAAATGCCTTTTAACTCAATCATTATTATAAATACTTAAGCCAGACCAACAGTTCTTCTACAAATTAGGAAGCTTCCAATAGTATTAGCTTGATGTGTTAAAATTGATTGCTTAGCTAATCCACTAGAAACATGAACCCAACTTAGAAAATGCAACTTGGGAAAGGATCTGTAAAAAAAAATTATCTGTCTCACACACACACATACAGACATAAACAGATCTGTGTGCATATGTGCACACCCTCAGTTTCATAAAGATTTTCATGATTAAAACATTCCAAGTTATTGCACGTTATGTTTGATGTGAGTAAGGCAACAAAACCATTTTTAGAAGGAATGGGAAGGTGGTGAACAATGCCACAAATAAAGTTTTGTAATGGAAAGTAACATTCAAGCAACCCATTATCCTTCCAAGAAAACAAAACAACCAATTATGAACAAATGCAGCTACAGCAAAGTGCCACAGCGTTTATGGTCCTCCCAATAATCTTACCAGAGCTGTTTCAGCACTGTAATAATCATGGATAGGCAGAAGACAAACTTCCACAGTTAATAAGGCTTCACGATAAGCACAATTATTTCTTTTTAAGATGGACTCCACCACCACACACGAAACATGCAAACATTGGATGCAGATATTTGGCAACATCCACAGACAGATGTACTCAGTGCTGGTCTCAAATCCTCCCAGAGCAGTATCACACACACTGCATTAGTCTAAAGAGGATTCTGAAGTTGGCCATTATCTGCTAAGGCTAATAGGCAAACTGTCCCTGTACTTCTTTCTCCTCCAAATATTACGGTTGTGTTGGTGATGACCTCTGTTGCTAACTGGCTGCCTTACAGCTCCATTACTGGCAGAATTGTATCCACTGCCTTGATTATGAGCTCCTTTCACAGTAAATTTCACTCCATTGTGCTGCTGAAAACAAAGAAAATAGTTAATATTACTGCCAACTATTTAATATTATTGCCAATGCTTCAATAATGTTGTCTCGTGCAGTCTCTAAATAATGAATTTATACTTATGAAAAAATAATATAGCATTCAGACGTCTACAGTACAACTACAATTTAAGGAAAGTTACATTCAGAAAAATTAAAACAGTACTAAATTACTTCAAAGAATTCCATGAGAAGAGCCAACCAAAGAAGATATTAGGTATGCTCTTTCTGAATTTTAAAGGATCATTTCTCATCTACTGCACTGCAATTTTTAGGGGAGGAGATAAATGCAGGGGTGGGATTCAATTTGTTTAACAACCGGTTCTGTGGGCATGGCTTAGTTGGTGGGTGTGGCTTGGTGGTCATGTGACTGGATGGGTATGCTTGGTGGTCATGTAATTGGCTGGGCGTGGCCTACTCAATATCACTCATATCGAGGCACGCATCTCCTCGCCTGGCCTCTCATGACTGTGGGGATGCTGCAACAGTCGTAAGTGTGAAAAATAGTCATAAGTGCCACTGTAACTTTGAATGGTCATTCCACACAAGCAAAGTACCAGCAAAGAAGGGGAAAAAAACTCCAGAGAAGTTCCTGAGACAGGAAGTCTAGTCCTGCCAAGAATGTAATAAGGGTTAGCGGAGAGGCAGTTTCTGTAAGAAACACCAGAATGTTTCCTTCCTGCCTTCCTTACAGGATTAGGCCAGTAATTTCTTCTAACATCCGGTTCTAGCGAATAGGTGCGAATCTATAGAATCCCAACCCTGGATATATGAGACCAATTTATAAAATATTTCATTTTTCAACCATGCTGAGTTTGTTTGAAACAATTGTTTTACATTTTAAGTATGAGACATTTCATCATCCATTTTTTATGAGGGGACATATTACTTTTTATGTTAACATTCATTGCTGTGATTTCATTAATTTATATTTTTTTATTCATAGGCTGACTTACAAGAAACTTACCAGCAAAGACAAGATACAAATAATTGAGACAGAGTGGCACCCTAACTCTAATCCTCTGTGATCTAAATTACTGGACAACTTACAGCACAACACCCCATTAATCTGAATATTTTAGACATTGTTTTCTGGGTCCAATGACATTATGAAATTATTAATGCTGTATATACTTTTATATATTCATATATTATATATTTATATATACTTTTGCTTTAAAGAGTTAGAATAGATTTATATTATTCAAAGATGAAAACTGAAGAGATTTGCATGCCAAAAACTGAAATGCGTAAGTTTTATCATGTAACTTAATCTAATTATTACCATTAACTTAGTGTAATAATGGATTATCAGCGACAGCGACATTACCTTTATTACAGGTTGATGGGGCAAGATCCTATTTCATAACTGAATAACATTATAGAAAGTAATTTTGTACAAAAATAGCTAGTCCTTCAATCAAAATGAGGAATTAAGAATGAATACTTACCTCTGAGTTGTCTACATTTTCTTGTGAAATAATAATTAATGAAAGAGGTACTTAATTACAAGTGTTAATAAAATAGCAGAAGATTTTATGCTGCTTTATATAAATATATTTAACTGGATTCCATTTATGATAAGAGCTTTTAATTAAAGGTTTAAATAAGGCTAAATGTTTGTGATCAAGAAACTCTCTGGAACTTGAAGCTTAACAACTATCGACTTATTGCAAATGTGCCTTTTTTGTGAGGATGTTACCTACAGTGTATCAAACCCTTGAAAGACATTTTTAATTGGAGCCATTTCACTTTGGTTTTATGCCTAGATCTGGAACAGAATCAGCTTTAATCATCCTGATAGATTGCTTTTTTGGAAAGAGAGATAATGAAAGCTTGTACTTTTTGGTATCTTAGCATTTTAATAATGGTGATTGTTCATGTTGAATTTCTTTTGCTAAGTAGGAGTCAGAATCAGTTTTCAGAAAACTACACTGAATGACTGCACCTTGGCCCTGGAAACTAAGTTGTGACATTCCGCAGCATCCCTTCTGTCCTCAATTCTTTTCAACTTTTATAAGCCACCACTGGGAATAATTATTCAAAACTAGAATAAAGTTTTTATCAATATTCATTGAAATAGGGGGTCTGCAGCAGTTTGGATTCAAACACAAGTTCTTTAAAGAAATGATGTCTTTTTCGAAGATTGATCACTATAATAACTAATAATGGAAGAACTGACCTCAATGGCAAGAAGTGCCCTTGCCTACTCTACCTACTCCCAGAGAAGCATAACTTGACCACTGAATTTACACCTTGGTAAACTCAAGTTTGGATTATTACAGTAAATGACAGATAAATATATATTTAAGGTTAGTCACAACTAATTTGTTAAAAAGGTAGCTAGGAATTTAAATAATAGAATCACAGAATTGGAAGAAGCTACTTAAGCAATTTCTTTTTCTTTGTGAATGAATCCAAATTAAAACACTATGGCAAATGAATGTCAGTTCTTGACTTATTTACATATATCCACTGAAGAAGAGTTTACCCCCTCCTTGGTTAATAATATCCAGGCTTTATTGTAGAATTTTTTCCCTAACATCTAAACATCCCCTAACATTTCCTAGTCTTTTTCCTAACACAGCCTTTCTACTGTCTCAGACATTTCATGGCATACTAATGAGTAAGTCTTCTCTCTTTTTTGTGTGTTATACTAGGTATCCTATTCAGAGATAAAGTCATTTGCAAATCTGTTAAGCCTTCATTCCACCTTTTCATCTAACCTACTGTACAGCGAAATGAGACAACTCACATCCACCTGGTTGCAGGACACCTCGCTCCAGCCAATTTGCCAAGGGGACAACTAACCATGAGCCTGGAGAGGATTTTCCCCCAAGCCTGGGCATAATTGGCAGCTTGCCAGCCTGGATGCGGATAAAAGTCCCCAAGCTCAGACTGGTCTGTGTGTCTGTACGCGCATGCAGAACTATGGCTTCCACTTAGCCCGCCTTTCATGGGAGGTGGGGTGTGCTAAAAAGCGAGAAGTCGTCTTTGGAGTAAGAGTGTGAGCTGGCAGGAACTTCCACTTCCCTTAAGCCAGGCCAGCATTGGAAACCAGAGCTTGCACAGGGGTGGGATTCAAATTTCTTAGCAGCCGAGTCTGTAGGTGTGGCCTAATTTGCAGGTATGGCTTGGTAGTCATGTGATCGGGTAGGCGAGACTTGCTGACTGGGCATGGCTTGGCAGTCACGTGACCAACTGGGCGTGGCATGGTGGTCACATGACAGTAGTGTAACAAATTTTAATTTATGTATTTGTTTTTAAGTATCTGTTCTGTTTTTGATTACTAAAAACAAAACCTATACTAAAAAAAATATTAAACATTATTTAAAATATTTTTAATAATTTTTTAGTATCTTTTGTTTTAATTAATCATAAAAACAGAACAGATACTAAAAACATAAATACATAATTTTTTTTTGTTCCACTACTGTTATTGTTACATGTTAACGCTTGTGTTTTTCCTTTGCTTTTTCTTATTAGGAAATTTTTTTTCTCAGATTATTATGTGATAATATGGTTTAGAATATTCCAAGTATTCTGAATATTTATTTTTTATTCAATTACTAAGAAATCATGTCAGAAAGATGCTTTTGGTATTCTATATATATACATGGCCATCCTTGCACAAGAAAGTACATAAACATTTCTTCAGAAAAAGAGTATCATGTATTAAATGAATAAGTAATACGGTCGTAGTTTGGCAAAATCCAGACCATTGTTTCTTTCAATATTGCTAGCTGAATATTTTTTCCATCAATTTCTGTTTTCTTAGCTTGATCATATTTTTCTGATATCTTAATACTATGGCTTGACAAATCTAACACTTTTGGAGAAAGCAAAGTGTTAGCAATCTGCTGTTTTTGCTGCCAAAGCTGGTTTTCTGGCAGTGCTGCTCCTTGGATTTGAATGGGAGCACTACGGAATGACCCATGAGTTTTGGATGGTCAGAGACCTATTTGGGGAGTCTTGAAGATTCCAGTTCCCTCTGGAAGCAATCGGAAAATCATTGGGGGGGGATCCATCTTCCTGTCAGCAGTTTCATTTGCCTGAGTTTTTAACATTAAGATTTTGAATTTATTGTTTTACATTGTTTTTTGCTCTTAAAAATTGACAGTGGACCAGCAGATGCTGATTTATTTCAAGCCTTTGCTGTACTCTTTTTTCCCTTTTCTTTCTTATTAATTTATGTTGCTCTGAATACTCTTTTTGTTCTTTGTATATTTGCCTTCATTTGTAACCTTTCTTCTCTCTGTATTTCTGTATCGTAAAGCACTTTCATTTGATTTACATTAATATTGGACTCTCACCACAGGATTTTGGTACTTTTTGAATTTATAAAATATTTGCAGTTTATCTCTCTTTTAAATTTTTCTTTTAACCTTGCATTGAAATATTCAGATAATATCATTCTTGTTTCCTTCTGCTTCAGTGTTTTTGGTTCCCTGATCAAGTTACACAGAGTAGCAATGGATCAAGATGGCATTAAGTAACAAATATGGATATTTGTTTTTAGGATGAATTAGTTTAACTTTTGGGACAATTTGGGATAGATAGGATGCTGTGACAAACTTTCGATGTGTGGATTACAATAACAGTTTAACAGTTTTGAAACCTTATCCTTGTCTTTATTATTATTGTTATTGAAGGTTAACTATTTTGTCATTAATATAGTATATAGGACAGGTCAATAATTTGCAGATAGATTTATTAGCTTAAAATTTGGGGGACAGCCTGTTTCATATTGGGAACCAATATTGTAGTAATGTATATCGGTATTCAATTATGGGAATAACGCGTTGATTTTTTTTCTTTTTGATGCACTTTTTTAGTGTCTTAATTGTTTTGTTCTTTTGTTTTTTGTCTTTAAAAAAAATTCTTGGAGTTTTGTATTTTAACTTTCTTTTGAATAAAATAGAATAAAATGAAATAAAATCAGATAGGAATCTTGAAATTTCCAGTACGGTTAGTTATCCTAGCTAACAAGATTTTTGAGGTTTGCTATACTGATTTAAAATTACTTTTCTTGGAATTGTTCATTTTCATCTATTTCAATCATTCTACAAATTGCTCTCTTTGTATCTAATTCAGTAGTTTTTTTTCTCTTCGGTAATGTACTTGTTTACTATTTTCAAAATGCGTGAGAAAATTAAACAGAGGTGGTTTCACATACCTGATTATTCGTGGCCATAATCAATGCTCTTGCAGGCACAGACTGATTTTTACCACTTGGCATAGTTAATGCCGGATGTATTCCAGCCGTGAGTGGAGATGGTGCTTGCAGGCTGAAGTGGTATATATTAGGAGTTGTGCAAGGTGGAGTATCAGAATCCTTCATGTTACATAAAAGGAGAAAATATGGGATTTTATTTTATATATAAAGAACCTGTGTTGACACATTTAAAGCAGGATGATTTTGCACTGAACATGTTACAGAAATAATCTCTCTGGAGGAAAAAGAATATTTTGCAAAAATAACTGTTTCTGACCTTCCATTACTAGACTGGAAAAACAAGTTAAATAAGTGCAGTTCCTAACATTAGCCAGTAGCTATTCTCCTCATTAGGCAAAACTACAACTGATTTTTCATATCAAGACTGGGCTAGCGAGAAATTTTTTTTATCGCATGTGCTACTTGCTACATTTCAATCAGCAGTCATAATATCATTTGTGGAGAAGGCACAATTTATCCAGGCTTCTTTGTTTTCTGTGGTATCTATCTGTCTTTAAGGACCCACTATGGAATTGTTTCCACACATGTAAATGTTTTTAAAAACTAAAAAATATTTTAGAGTAAAATTGTAAACATGTAATAATTGTATTTGCGATCTTATAAAATAGCTTGTAATCGTATTCAGATATTAACTTTCACATGTACGTAGACAGCAGCTTAAATAGCAAAATGATAAAACTTACAACATCACTTCCAGAAAGAGATGATACTGAAGAGGCAGATGAACCTGATGATAATTGTTGCATATCAGTAAATGACAAAGTCAAAGGTTGGTTGTAAAGCAATTCAGCATCTCTATTCTGGGTTGCACTCTCTGAAGATATTGATTCTCTGTCTTTCAGCTGACCATCTGGTGGTACATATGTTTATATGTCAATACATTTCCTTTTCATTTAAAATAAGTATAGCCGTGTTTTGAGTATTGTTAGTTTTACTGAATAAAATGTTGCTGATTAAGTCAGATAGTATATCAAAGATGTTTAAGCCTTAAGTAACGTGCAAATGAACTACAGTATGCATTTTATTATTTCAACAAATTAAAATCAGGGGTCAAATATTCTGCCAGGCATGGATTCACATGTTCATATCAACAAATGATAACAAAGTATTGGGGGAAGTGTTGAAGTACGCTGAATACTGAAACATGGGATAAGAAAATAAAAAAAAACAGAAAAATATGATAAAAATAATATCTCATTTAGTTTTTAGTATCAATATATTTACTTGCCAAGATCAGATGAAAAGTTAGCTTTGTTTCCCCAATTTTTTTTAATCCATGCTCTGTAGTCGATCACTTCTTCTGTCACTTTAATAATTCTACCTAAAGTACTAGAAGAGATGTTGATTAAGATAAGAAATCAAGCCACAACAGTGAAACATTGTTTGTTTGTTTTTAAATCTAAAATTCATTATAGATAACATAAGAGCAAAAAAACTTTTAAAAAGATTTGCACACAGTCAATGTCAATTTCAGGTTTTTAAACTGATATTAGCTCTTCTTTCCAGGGTGCTGTATTACAAGAGGATAAGTATTATGCAGCCCCAAAATTAAATATATATTATACTTCCTGTACATGCCATGATGAGTGAATTCCTTGCTGACTTTTGTTAGCAAGACAGCTTAGCAAGAGGAATTGCTACTTAATGATGGATTCCAGTCAGGTAATCTTTCCAGAACAAGAGAGTGATCAATGATATTATCCACATGACCCCACACAGCAGCTCCTCATGAGTAGACCATGGAGACCATCATTGTTATAGTTGGCTTATGAGTAGAATGGCTGTGAGTTGGAATTTACATCAAGTTCAAACTTGTAAAACAGTCTTTACGGACACATTTCTTGGTCGACCCTTATATCTCAATCACATATAATTTTGGGATTATTTTATTATTTGCATATCGGAGAGATCAAGACCTCTTGGATTGGGAAGATACTATTGCATTCATCAGGTGAGTTCCCCTTTCCTTAAAAAGTGTAAAATTGATTTTCAAGGTCCAAAAAATATAAGATTTGTGGTACTATGCAGCAAAAGGGTGCTTAGTTAATGTATTTTGTGAAGTTAATAATTATTAATGGACCAGAGGAATATGGAAATACAGTTTTGAACTATTTAGAAGATACTTGCTCATGGAAAAATGGAGATTGTTTTGGAGTGGGGTTTCTTAGACGGGATAAAGAAAATGGAGCAGAAAATCCTTAGTGCAATTCAGGTAAAATTTGGGACAGAATGGATCAGAAGCTTAATAAAATTGATACGGTGAATTTATAAAAGAACAAACAAACTGCAGTGGATGTTTATGAAACTAATTTGAAGGGGGACAAATGTAAATTCAATTGGGATCTGATGAATGCTTACTGGAGATAAATATATATTGAATCAGGAAAATGATTTGGATAATTTTTTCCTGTGCATATACAGAAGAGCTTAAGTGTGACTTGAAAGGACTTTTTTAAGAAGTGACAAGAGAAATCTTGTTCAAATTTTAAAATATTTTTGCTTTGAAACACAAATGAGCAGCAAACTATCTCCACAACTTTTTTTTTTTGTAGGGGATCAAAAATATTTTTAAAAAATAAGGAAAGATTTATAAGATTGGCTTGTTTGACCAGTTTTTTAAAAAGAAAATAGTTAATATCTATTTGTTCTTATTGGAATATTGCTGATAAGATTTATTAATATAGATTATGATTTTGTTTTCTTTACATAAGAGATGAACTATGGAGAGAAGACAGATTATGTTTTATTTAGAGACAGGACAGCCATTAAAATTGTTTTTCTTCCCTCTTTTGCTTTTTTCTTTTTCAACCCCTTTATTTTATTTTTTCTGCAGCTTATATTAACTTTTATTCTTTACCCATATAATTCTTAATAAAATTATCTGAAAAAATGGAATATATTCTTCTTTGCAACATTCAAAGTTCCTCCCCTGACCATACTTATAAATTCTGGAAGTGCAATGTAAAGTTTAAGTTCCCATGCATTTCCAGTTTAACTTTATACTTTGAAACTTAAATGTATATTCTTCAAAAACCTCTGGACTCCTGCTGGATTGCCACTTTTTAAACTGCAGCACCTGGTATGCCTCTCAAAGCCCACATGCAGCCCTGGCTTTTAGAAGGCTATATACCTCAACCTATTCAATGAACACATTCTCAAATAGTTACCTTTCTGAATCTCTATTCGGATATGATTTTGCAAGTGGTGATACTGCATGGCTTAGAACAATGTAGGCATAGTCAAAAACCTGCTTTACTTGCATGGCACCATAACAACTTCTTCCAACATCATTGCCTGTAATAGTAAAATTTTAAAAAATCACACTTATTATACAGTTGATGCCAAGTTGCTTTTACCTTGTAATGCTTATAATGTTTAAAATTCTTGGAATAGGTAAGATGTCTCAAGGAGAGATATATACTCTATAGACTTGCATATGTACAAATTGGTGCCCAATCTTCCCAGTTAATCTATTATTTGACATACAGAACTGATACTCCTTTAAAATAACAGTATGCTCCATCCCAGTTTTCTATCTACCATTCTTAAAATTTAAAGAACTCCAACCATATCACTTTTATTGTGCACTGGATTTGGAGGTCAATATTAAGCAGTTTATATTTGTACAGTACCAGCTATTTTTATTGATATGTATTAATGTCATTCTGATATAAATCTGGCTACTTGTTTATTCAGTGTTTACCAACTAGGAAGTCTTCCCATACCAAGAAAGCTATCTTCAAGACTCCAATCCACAGTTTCCTATTACAACTACTTCTATAACAGCTACTTCTTTGTTATTAGATCATTTATATTTTACTCATTCTTTGGCCTATGCATAGTAAAGAGTTGTTATCAAAACTAAAATGTGATTATATAGCTTATCTGGTGTTATTTTGTGGAATTACACAATAAACAACCAAATCTAAACTACTTAAACAAGACCACGCAGGCAAAAAATAGCACTCAGTCATGTTCAAGTCCTACTAGCCTGCCTTATTTGATACATTAAAAAAAAGATGGCTCTCAGAGGCCAGTTTAGGGCTGGATAATCTGGTATCTCCAAGTCTTACTGTTTTCAACTTCCACAATACTCTGCTATAGCAAGGCTAATTGGGTGATACATCTAAATTATGTGGAGGGAAAACCAGGTTGCATAATCTTGTTAACTAGATTAGTATTCCTAATTCACCTCAGTATTGAGAATACACACCGAATCCTAAACATACCAATTCTCTAAAATTATTAGATTATCCCAGGCAAATCTGAGATATTTGTTATTTTTTCTACAAAGATCTATCCAAACTTTAACAGGATGAATGTTTTTGTTTTCTGTGTATAATTCTAAAGAAATATTTCAGTACTCCTTTGTATCAATGTAATGTCAGGTACAAGTTTGCATATTAAGCTCCTTTTCTTATTGGAGTGAATAAATTAGCCCAGAGTAGAAATACCAAATTTTAACTCTATTCTTACATTAACCCCCTTATTCTTGGGTTATGTTTTCTGGCTTCCAGCATTAGGGACATCCAATACTGTGGGTTGAATACAAGAAGTCTTTGACTTACAAACATACTGGAGTCTACCCATTATGGTCATAAATTGTAAAGTGGATCACCATGTGACCAATCTGATTTTGTGACCTTTTTTGTAGCTGTTAAGTGGATATGGCAGTCATTAAATGAACCCATCATTCATTATGGGATTTTTTTTGCCCCATACTAAAAGTAAACACTGTTTTTTTGGCAAAAATGTCATAAATGCCACTCATGGGATCATGGGATGTGCCAAACAGCTATAAAGGCAAGTCAGTTGCCAAGAGCTTAACGGTGTGTGACTGTAGGGGGAGAGGCCAGCCATCAGAACTTTGGAACCAGGTCACAAGTACCATTTGGAGGTCAGTTGTAACTTCGAACGGTCACTAAGCAACTGGTGGTAAGTTGAGGACTACCATTATATCACTAATTGACAAACCAAAGGGAAACGAAGTTATTATCTTTGTCATACTGTTTCCCACTTCAGACTAAATACATGGAAAACATGAGATTTGTAATCCCAGGAAAGTGTTTGTGATATTTTCGTATTATGGATACTAACTAGTACAACACAACACATGCAAATACACCACTGCTGTTTAACAATCAAGTTAGGTTTCAATGACCAAGTTGTTAAATTAAATGGCTGCTAAATGATTACATGACTAAAAGTTACTGTGAAGATCACTGACTGCTGCAATATGCCTTGTTATTAGACATACAATATTTAGTTGTATATGCACACTGGAAAAATTGAGTCCAGTAAATATTCCACAGCTTTGTTCTTGTGAATGATAATGCCTTCAGCCTGCCCCCCCACCCCAAAAAACTTACGCTATATATGTAATAAACAAATATTGCATACCAAGATCTAAGACTATTCTTTTAAACATTTCTCTCAAAGTTTCTGGGTTAAAAATTGAGAGTGACATATGTCATCTTACCAGGCAGTAGGGGATCTTCAATGCATAACATGGATGGTCGATATCCATTAGTCATGGTTTTCATGATTTCTTCTTTGGCAATATAGGCACCTCCATTTTTTATTCTAATACCAGTTTTTAAGTAATTAAAATTCCTTCCATAGAGTTCAAAAAATTCTATTAGAAGCATTCCTAGATTTTCATCAAATCTTCGAGCATCAATTCTTGGGTGCAACTATTAAAAATGGAAATCACAGGATTTTATTTTCTTGCACAGCAAGTGGCATTTATATATTATCAGCTAAAGTAATTCTTCCTTTTAAAAAAAAACTTATTTTTTTATTTTTACATTTCAAGATGATAGTATTTGCCCGTATTCAGAAAGTACAAAATGTCTTTATATGACTTTCTTACAAATTTTTGTTTTACCACATAAATACAATTCTGTCACATCTCATTCCCATATTTTAAAGGATAAGGATCTTCTAAACCTGGATAAAGATGTATGCTATGTCTGATATTATGAAAGATCTGAACATACCTGTAAGAAGCTAATTGCCATTAAAATTAAGCTGTAGGAACTAATTCCACCAGTAAAAACTTCATTCAAATCCCTCTGAAGAAGGAACTGTTTTAATACTAAAATCAAGTAAGGCAGCAATGAGTATTTCTGCAAATGAAAAAAACAGTCAGTTCTAAAAGAAAACATTTTTGCTTATGAATGAATACAAAAGCTCTCACACCAAAATAATATTCCATATACAACAATAACAAGTAGAAAAGTGAAATACAACAAATGCTTATTATCTACATGTTTATTCCTTAAAATAGGTAATGGTTTCACTCATTAATATTTAATAAATAATAGGAAAAAGACAAGGCAATTGCTACAAACATGACACGTCATTATATGGTACATTAAAAAATGAATAAGCACCAGATAAAAATCAAGGGAACTCTGTGAATATAATGTATGTTCTTAATCTTTACCAGATTACTAAATACTCATTATTTAACAGCAAACATACACTCATGCATGTACACTCTGTGTAGACACAGAAAATTTAATTCTGTTTATTCTATCAGGAGGAACTTGCTTTCAAACTTATGAACTAAGGTAACTTCTTAAAACCCAAGCAGAAGAAAAAAGGTAATACACTACAGTTAAGCAGATGTGGCTTGCAAAGTAATTTTTGACTGAATAACTATTTTTGTAAGAAAAATTAAGCAAATAATTTATTGTCCATTAATACACAAATATAAACTAATGCACATTTCTTTGAATACACAGTTCTTAGGTTTACAAGTAGTCCTTGCTTACCAACTGCTTCATTTAGTGACTGTTCAAAGTTTTGATAGCATAAAAAGAAACCTCTGAAACAAATCTTTGCATTTACCACTGCCACAGTATCCCACGGTCATGTAATTGTCATTTGTGTGCTTTGCAACAGATGCACATTTGCACAAGCGTTGCAGTATCCCAGTCACATGATCACCATTCACCTGCTTCACAACTGGTTTGCGACAAGCAGAGCTAATAAAGAAGGCAGAACTTGCTTAACAACTATGGTGCTTTATTTAATGACCAAAGGGGGAAGTCAGTCTGTAAATCCTTCATAGTCACATGATTTGCTGCTTAGCAACTCTAGTGGTCAGCAAGAGAGTTGCCAGTTCCAGTTATGATCTAGCAAGGATCATAGCAAGGATTGCTTGTATTAGGCTTCAATGGCAAGGGCAAAAATTGTGAGTTACAACATCTAGTAAATATATTGACAACCCAGAATCTTGCATGTAGACCTAGATTCTTTGTTACAGCACAATATCCTGTTAAATGTAAAACACATTTTTCCATTTATATCACTAGTCTCTAGTCTAACACTAGGCTTGCTCACTAGAAGACCAAATCTGAGCAAGATTAAAGTCACAAGAACTTGTCTGGATTCCAGAAGATTATAAACAAGTAGAAATACTTTTGCATACAACTCAGTTTGACTAATTCTGGTGAAGTCTTTTCATCAATTACCAATCTACAATCCTAGAAAATATCTGAATTTACTTTGCTTTCCAATCTGGTTTGTTTCCCATGAATCAAGGACCAGAGCATGAGCATCCAAAGAACAAGAGATGCAAGCTCTTGTAGGCAAAATACCAGAGATTTTATATGAACAATCTAAAGAGAAATTTACCATAAATTCTGTTACGTTTGTCATTATGTTGATACTTTACCGAAGATGTACAGACTTTGGAAAAAAAAGTATCCTTTTTAGAGGTCCGATCATGTGTATTATTTTGGAAGCTTGAAATTGGATGCAACAGGCCTGACAGAAAGCAAAGGAAACTAGAAAAACTGTACAATGCTTATATAATTTTTCAAGATTCTATATATTTTTGGTGCTACAGATTTAGGGTTTAAAATGTGGATCCTAAGACTTCAGCCAAAGAAAATATTAAAATCCCCATATTGTCTAAAGGAAGTCTAAAATATTTGATTAAAATTACATTTTGTATCCGATCTGAACATTTTTCTTTCAAATATATAGCTAAAAATTCTTGAAAGATTATGAGCAGATGTGGGGAAGTATATCAGAGTTTTTGAATATATTTTCTATTCCAGACAGCATTTAACATAAGCCCACAATCAGTTAACTTTTTTTTCAAATTTCAGTTCTAAAAGCAGCAGATGTATCAAGGTATATAATTTTTTTTTCTGCTTACTTTACCTTCATGTAGTCTTTGATAAGTCGAGCTGCCTTCACACCAGTTTCTACATTAAAACTAATATCAACTTTCACCTCTGTAGCCTGGTCTGTAAGTTTAATTATTGGTACCTGCAAAAGTAGTAAAATCAACCATTCAGATGACATTACAGAGAGTAATCAATGTTTTAAATCATTTAAAATATCCAGTTCATCTAGACAGCACATTTAACATTTGTTAGCACACCACTAATATAAGTATAAATCTATTTCAACCTTTTAAATCACTACTTAAGTATAAGATAGGCATGCAGGGAATGATTGCTCTTTTTATGTTTTATAATAAATGCTATAAAACTTATTTCTGCGCATTTGCACTCCTTTCTAGAAAAACCCTTCCACAATCATTTACTTGAACTATTTTCTAATATAATATGCTTGGGCACAGTGTGTTAGAAAGTATTTTATTTCTATTTAATTCTAATGTTCTAATCAGATCTAATTTTGAAGAGCATGTGAGTCAATTGCAGTTTCATTTGCACAGATTTCTAGACCATTTCTGAACCATAAAAATGATTGTTTCTTTAAAAGCCAAAACATTTAGAACTTAATAATTAAAAGAAGAATTTCTTTCTACACAATCCTATTGTTATTCATTTCCTGATAAAATAGTCTAATTCAGCATCCTACTATCACCGAGATGTAATAGGTAAGAAGAACTTGTCTTTTGTGGCAGCCATGATTCAAGCCCTCCTGGATTGTTTTCTTCCAGTAAATGCAAAGTGTTGTTAAATCTTAAGTTTATTCTTTAGCCTTGATGCAAACATTAGATTATTAACTCTCTGCTGAATTGATTACTAACCCATCTTGAATACTATGTTCTGAATTAGAAACCTGGGATATAGTTGGGTGGATTGCAAAATGTATTTTGATTCTAACACTGGGAGAGAAAGAGGAGACAAAGACACTGAGGGTTTATCACATTCCCATATTGAAATTCCTGTTTTTCTTTAATATCTTTTTGTTCTTTGTCTCCAGTATACTAATAGGAGCAGAGAACCACCTGCTTACAACAGCAGATCTAAAAAGGTTTCTTAAAATAAAACCAGAGATTTGGTATCCTAGGCATGGAATGTTCATGGATCTATTCACATCAATGGCAAACATTTCCAAGTGCACTTAAGTTTACGTTGTTAAACTCTATCTCATTTACAGCAATGTGCTAGTCTAAAAACAGCATGTGTATCTGTTTACGTAGAATTCAAATGGCATACTAAGACTCTGAACATTACTGATAATATTGGATATTTAAACCAAAAGGGAAATATCCCTTTTGCTCCTTTACTTGGAAAGTAAATGACACAGCAATAAAGGAAGAATTGAAGCCATATAGATATTTTAAAAGAGAAGCAGACACAAACTAGAGATTTTAATAGTTTCTACCTATACAAAACAAGTTATGACTCACAAGCTAAAGACAGCTTAGCTTAACATATGCCAAGAGAAATTTTCAAATGTCAGCACCAGCAAAGCTGGTCACATCATCTGTCACTGATGTTACTAGGACTTTAATTCAGGTTTAAAAGGACAAATACAGAAAAACAATAGTGTATGAAATGTATTTCAAACAGAAGATTTATATACATACACATACATGATTGTTGAGTAAGTATTAAGAATAACTCATAATGCAATCTTTATTGATTTAAATAAAGTTATTAAATTGATTTAAGTAATCAATATATTAACAAAAATAGAATTTTCTAGGCATTCTTTGTCATGCCAGATGTTGAAATAATTTGAAACAAACAATATGAGTTAATTTAGAGCTAATGCCAACTAATAAGGAAGGCAGGAAAACTGACAGCAATTGGGAAGAATATTTTCACAAACAATACCTGTTACTAAATTGCAGTTGGGGAAACTCAGAAAAACATAATATAAATAAGCAAACAATGAACCCAAAGTACAGGTAGTATTCAATCATAATGGAGCTTGTCTATTACTATCATAAGTTGTGGAAGTCATTAATCAAGGCGCCCTCATAATTGTCTGATTTAATGACTACAATTCCTGCTCTCCCTGTTGCAATTGTTAATCGTACATGCAGGTTATTAAGCAGAGTCTGGGATGCCTTGGGGAATGGAGGAGGCTTTGGGACTCCTGGCAGAGGCGCAGACCACAGCACTGAATGAATGGTCGTAAATTGAGGGCTACCTGTAAAATATAAACATGTCTATAACTTTCCCTCAATAAGGAAATGTCCAGGATAACTTGTTTTAAATTACTTACTGTAGCTTTGTCAAGTACTTTAATCGAATGTGGCTCGGCCACGTTGTGTTTCCTTAGGGCTTGTTCTAGCTGCTGGAGAGGTGGGCTGTCCCATTTTCCAAAAACCACTAAATCAATATCACTGTAGACATAAAACATAGCTAAAGTTTATTAGAAACTTACTGTAGATATTATACAGCAATTCTTTGAATAGGCAAATGACATAATTTGAAAGAGTGTTTGAAACATACAGACAAAATAAATATACCTCTGAATTGTCAAAGCATCCATGTTTTTTGTAAAGCTTCTAAGTTGTTTTAACTGTATCTGCAGTTAAACAATTCAGATGCTTTAACAATTGGAAGACAGGCCTTTGTTCACTCTCATGCACGTTGCAAACTATCTCTAATTGTTTATACAGTCCATATACACTACCTTGTCAATTTAATAATATTTAATCTAATGATATGTTAGTCATTCATTCCAAATCAAAATTTTAATAGTGTAACATATAAAGCAGCCTTTCTCTAGTCCCAAGTCATATTGGACTACAATTTCATCATTTCCCATCAATTGGGTTGTTAGAAATCCTACTCCAATACATTTGGAAGGCACAAAGCTGGGGAAGGGTCATAAAGAAGTTAAAATGCTACAGAGCCTCAGTCTAAAACAAACTGCCATGACAGCTAATACTGATATTTCTGGATTTTTAAAAGTTTGGTTTAGAAGTTATTTCATATCCAAGTTGATAGTTCATAGAGAGGCTTTTGTACCTGAAAGTTGTAGAAGGAGAATATTAATGTTCTATATGTTCACACTATTGTACAAAAGGTGAAAAATTAGAAATGCTAGCATCCCTAGAGATACAGTACTCTAACTGTTGATATAATAATTTTAGAGTTTTGCAGCTAAACCTGAAGAATCAATACCCACTTAAAATTAAACCAGATGTCTTTTCAATTATATCAATTTAAAAGAGTTACTTTTAAAGAGGTTTATTTGCGGTAGGGTACATAAATTGTATTTATGTCCTTACTGCACATAAACCTAAGTTAATGAAATGCAATCATTGTGTTATTCCTTCTCTCTCTGTTTTTTTTTTTTAACTGTGGTCAATGTCCCTCTTTTTCCTGTATTGACTTCTTGATAACCAGTGTGGCTAGAGTGGTAATATAAGTCTTTATAAAGTGCCATGTAATCTTTTTGTTACTATTACATAGCATTAGAGTCAATAATACAAGTGAAAAATTTCCAGACTCACCTTGTTGGCAGATAAAGTCCTGTACTAAAACTTCCAAATATCTGAACCTGGAAAAGAAAAATATCTATACTGAATTTAATTGTTGTAAAATTCTAAAATTAAAATATGTGTGTGGTCAAAGTTAAAATGGTGTGTAGAGCACCAACTTAGGTAAGCTTACATCAGCTGTAGGCCAAAGATCTTTGATGACAGTTTCTATTCTTTTCACAACTTCTCGTCTCATAACTGCTTCTTCAGGACATGGGGACATAAAGTCATAAAAGTCAATTATTTCTTCATGGAGCCTATGGGAAGAATAAGAAAAATCAATAGCAGTAGAAAGAGAACCAAATGAACTAATCTACTGGTGACAGTGGATGCTAATCTGGATTTACAAGTAGAATATTTCAATTTCAGTTGCATAATTATTCTAGGATTCCATCTCCAAACACATATTTTTCTAGAAATTGAACAGTAGGTTTATAAAGAAAAAGAATCAAATCTGTTTTTGTAGTAAACATATTAAATCAAAATCAAGCCTAAGATTTCCATACTTTGCCTCACTGAAGTCATATTTCTTTTCACTCACCTCGAGCATATTTGAAATCACTTCACATATATATGCACATAAGACAGAAAAGTATCTGTCCATGTTAATCAACTATCAATCTCTATCATCATAATCATTATTATTATTACAGATACTAAATAATTATTTAAATTTATATCCCATCTTTTTCTTCAGGAGCATAATAGTTAACATACTGGTCTCCTTCCATTCTTTTCATTATAATAACCATATATGAGATAGTTTGGTCTGAAAGAGAATGACTGGTAAAAAATCACCAAGTCAGCTCCAATAGTCAAGGACAGAACAGCATGTGTCTACCTGACTTCTGGTTTGCCAGGCTTCGGTGACAGCAGGGATTCGCGTCTCTCCGCGATCCCTGCTGTGCTAGCCGTCTTGGTGCCTCCGATCCTGACGGATCTGGAGGATAAGGCTACCCTGTTGGGGTAGCTGAAGATAGGGGGGATCTGGACAGGGGTTGAGGGGTATCGCAGACCCCCTCCCCAGCCGGCAATAACCCCCTTTTCTCAAGGCGGTGGAGCGGCGGTCTTAATGGCCGCCACGAAGAAGCTGGCAACTGGATTAAGAATGAGCAGGAGGAAGAAGAAGGAAGTTTTAAAATGAAAGTTTTTTCTTGGCTGAACCGGGACTTTAAGGACATATCTAATACCTGGAAAATTACTATTTTTTGGATGCTACAATGTTCCCAATAGAGGTTTTCAGCGGCGAAGGAAAGTGTTGAAAAGGGAAAGTTACTCTCCCTCCCTTATGGAACTAACAAATGGACATGGAAAATCTGCTTTCTAATAGAAGGTAAAAAGTTAAAGCCCTTTGTTACAAGTGGGAAGGGAGAGGCTTGGAAAAAAAAATATTTTAAGACTTTGTTGGAGGAGATGCTTTGAAGATAAAGAGATTAGAAGCTAATTGCAAAAAAGAATTAAAATACAGATTGGGGTTTTTTTTTCCCCAATTGATTTTACCCCAGGAAGAGAAACTGTAAAAGGAAGAAGTTTGTGCTTTGCCTGGACTGTTTGATGACTTTGGGATTTTGGGATTTTGGGGAATTGTTTTAAGTTTGGAAATATTTGACTGGCTTAATAACAAGAAGAGGATACAGAAAAAGAAGAAAAAGTTTATAATGGCTCTATCTCTCGATGAATTAAAAAAACAATATCTAAAAATAAGGAAAGGCAAGGACGCTATGGGAGAAGCCCTTTGTTTTCTAGATATGGCGCTTGCTATGTGTCAGCAAATTAAATAACAGTTGGAAGAAGCGGAGGAAGAAGAAGCCATTTTTAATGAACTAAATGGTGTGATTAAGAAAGAAAGGAGAAAGAGAGGAGGGAAAAGGAAGGACTTAAGACATAAAAAAATATTTATGAAAGAGAAAAATAAGATGCAAAAACAATATAATGCCAGAAAGCAAAAGGAAAGAGGAATGCAACAGAAAGGGGAAGCCAAGAAGGCAGAGGTTTGGAGAGGAGTGGGTAAAAAGTCTAGGTGGGCCAAGAAAGAAAGGGAAAAGGGGGAAAAAAAGTTACAAAGGTATAAAACAAGGTGGGAAAAAGAAAAAAAAATTAGGGACAAAGGGTAATGTATGGTTTTTTTTTTAAAAAAAAAGGGATTCTGCAAAGTACACATGATAGTATTGTAGCAGTTGTATTTGTATTACAAATAGACAATTAGAACTCTTTAAGATTTAATAAAAGATTAAAATATTAAGGTACAATGTTAAAATGTTTAATAATGAATGGTTTTAAGTTTTAATAAAATATTAAAGGAAATGTTTAAAATATTAGTTTAAATATAGAGTTTAATGGGCCAATGTGTTGATTATTATAGATTTATTATTGTAGTGTTTGTCTTTGAAATAATAGAATGTACTAAGCAGAATCAGATTGGGATTTAGGTGTTATTTTAAACTTCAATTTAGGGGAATGAAAGAAAGGCATCATACTCTGATTAGTGACTTCAGGGGAAATTATCCTTTTTTTATATTGGGAATGAGATAGATGTAAATGGAAAAATGGACAAAAGATATAAAAATATTGTCTTAAAGCAAGATGAAATATATAAAATAGAATTAAGAAGAGGGAAATGTGGGGAGGAGTTATATAGCAGATATAGAATGGTAAACAAGATAGGTAATGGTATATAAGAAGAGCATGAATTTAATTGAAGTCCATACAAAAAGAGGTAATCTGGGGCCAAGTTACTTTCTAAAAGAAAGTTTTATGTTTTTGTGTTTTATGTGTGTGTGTTTAATTGAGAATTAATAAAATCTCGGAGGAAGACCAGATGAGAACAATTGTAAACAAGCCAGAGGAAAATATAAATGTGATGATTGAATAGCAAATAAACTAGAAAAGAAATGTGATTGAATAAGAGTAAAGAGAAATAATGTGAAATTTGTTAAAGGGAATTTACGTGTCTACATGGAAATGGGATAAATTACAAGTATGTGATATAAAATAATGTGTTACCTGCCTTGTAAAGATTTATAATGGAAAGAGGTTTTATGTTTTTAATGTCTAATGATGTTTTGTTTTGTTTGTTTGTTTTTAAAATCAATAAAATTTGCTTAAAAAAAAAAAGAACAGCATGTGTCTACCTAATGTTATATAGTGTAGAGCAGGGGTGTCAAACTGGATTTCTTTGAAGGCCGGATTAGCATTGTAGTTCTCCTTCGCAGGCTGGCCAGGGTGGGGGAGGGGAGACGGGACGGATGCCTCCTGTAGCACTTTGTAGGTCAAAATGGGGCACGGGGGGCACATGAGCACCTTCACACCCCATTTTCAGCTTCAACAACTCCTGCAGCACTTTGCTGGCCAAAACGGGGTGCGAGCGCTGGAGTATTGCAGGAGGCCATCCAGGCCCAAAATGGGGCATGGGGGCACCGCCTGTGGGAGTCCCCATGCCCCGCTTTGACTGCCAGAAGCACTGCGGGGCGTCCTTTGCTATTTCCTGGCCGGCTTCATGGGCCTCATTTAAACATTCCGGATACGGCCCGTGGGCATTGAGTTTGATACCTCTGGTGTAGAAAATACTTTCATTTTCCTTGTATTTCTTGATAAATACACACAAAGAGAAAGAATGTGACCTGCAAAATGTTAAAAAGTATGCAAGAGTAGTTAGACTTAGGAAGTACATTTCTGATCACAAGAAAATGGACCCAACATACCCTAAATTAATTCTATTTCATACAGCTAGGAGATGGGGCTTAAGACTTCTTCCTGTTCCACGGAGGAAATCCCATCCTTCAGTTAAATGTACTGATTTCAAATGATTAGTTTCAATTTTTCCTTTATCATGTAAAACAACAAGGATGATGGGAGGGAGGTGGGAGGCTAAAACTTATGAAGAACACTTGCAGGAACTGGGTACATCTAGTCTGGTGAAAAGAAGGACTAGGGGAGACATGATAGCAGTGTTCCAATATCTGCGGGGCTACCACAAAGCACTAGACAGCAAGACAAGAAACGATCGATGGAGAGAAGCAACCTAGAACTAAGGAGAAATTTCCTACGGGTGAGAACAATTAAGCAGTACAATGCCTTGCCTTCAGAAGTTGGGGGTGCCCCATCACTGAAGGCTTTTAAGAAGAGACTGGACAGCTTCTTGTCTAAAATGGTACAGGGTGGTGATGGCTAACCTTTCCATCCTCGTGTGCCAAAAGTTTGTGCGTGTGTCAAAAGTGTGTGCCAGCACCCATAAGGCAATGGACATGGGCCCCCCACGCCCCCTGCACATGCATGACCCCCGCACCGTGTCTCTGCACATGTGTGCATGACCCCCCCACATGTGCTGCACATCTCTGCACATGTACGTGGGACCCTCCCCATGTGCACCACGCATCTCTGCGCATGCACGTACATCTCCTGTGTATGCCCCGCACATGGGTGGCAGCTACCAGATGATCAGGAGGTGAGCGGCACGTGCGCATGCGCAGTGGACCTGCCCTGGGGTGACGGCTCGTGTGCCATAGGTTCTCCATCACGGGTATAGGGTCTCCTGCCTTGAGCAGGGGATTGGATAGAAGACCTCCAATATCCCTTTGAACTATGTATTTCTATGTTCTATGTATTCTACTTGTAAATGATAAAATACATGGAACAATATAAAACAATCAGCATAGTAAAGGCATTCATATATTGCTGCTTGGATAATCTCTTAATCTACTTCCCTCCTAAATAGCTGCATCTCTCTGTGAATAGGAAGATACTTCACAGTAAGGTTAACTATTGTCCTTGTTCATCAAAAATTGAACAAACAGAAAAAGGGATACACTTAATACACTAATATTTCCAAGGTGGAATAGTTTATAACATTCTTTGTGATCAATCACTTATAAAATCTGGATCTGAAATGAATCATCTATTTTAAAATTGCTTTTAAAAATAGATTACTCTGTCCCAACCTAATTTCTATTAATTGTTCTTCTGCATTAAGTCTGCTAACAGTAATTGCTCTTTGGGAAGTTGTGGCACAGGAAGGGAGCGGTATCTTGTTAGCTGTAAACATCAGGAAAGGACGTTTTCTCACTCATTCTGTTAATTGTGGAGAGGAAAGTTTAATCACTACTGATAGCCTGTTTGCAAGAAAGATATTATCAGTCTTTCATATCCCCACAGTACATTGTTTCTTAGATCCTCAGAGCCTGAGCTCATCTCCCTGGAACCAAGAAGCTGGAAAACATAATCTCTTGTGTTCAATGAAATTAAGAATTTTATCTAAGGT